CCGCGTGTTTTGCAAAGCTTACCTTGATCGACCACTTAAGGTCTTAGGGTCTTAAGCTATTGGAATTTATGCGATTTTAATTGTTTCATGTGAGCCATGTGGATAGCTAACACCGAGCACGTGCCCTTTCTCTTTTACTCCGCAGTTTGGCAAACCACGTGAATTCTCTTTGCCAATGATATGACGTGTTTTATCCTCAACGAAGATTACGCAATGAAGCGGGACCCATTGTTTACACGCTCACTTGTGGCACAGTTTATACCAGTTAAGACTGTTATCCTAACAAGGGAACCAGTTGGAGAATCACAAGCTTCAGCAGAAAGTAAGTGCATTTGCCTTAAATTCGTTGTTAGGGTCCAGTTATGTTTCTTGGCAAGTCAGCTATTGAGGATTTTGCAGGTGACTCGTTTGGAATAACGCCTGCACCGGCCCATTTTCCTTAAACTGCTCTTGTTTTCACCTTGCTTCAGTTCTCTTCCATTTTCGAACGAGCTCGGGCTCATTTTGCCCAGTGCCCATCGCTTAATTCCTGCAGTACAATGCATTAAAAGGTGCACAATAAAGCAGGGTCTCCAATTCTGTCTTACGAGGTATTCATTCTTAAACCGGAACCTGCTGATATTTCCAATACTTACAGACGGTAAGATAATCCGAGTAAGCTTACTGTGTTTGATATTTACAGACACAAAAATTACAAATAGACCGAGTTGAAGAAATTAATCATGATTTCTGAATGAACCATAACATCAAGAAACGAAAATACACTCCTCGGATAGTTCATAAAGAGTTGTTGATTAGAATGAAAGAAAACGTAGCAAAAAGTAAGTATCACATGCTTGAGACTTTGTAGTCTATACGCCAATATCAATTTAGACGAAAATCGCTTATAAAAACACGTTTTGTGTCCGCTTATCCCATGAAAAATAGTTTCTGCGTTCCAGCACTTGAAAGGTCTTAAATGCTCCTTCTGTGTGTAAGGCTCGTGACATCAAATTGATCATAATTTAGAGGAGCCACATAATCTATCCGTTATAATGGCATGGGCAGACTTCCTCTTGGTGTAGTTATTTTCCAGGACTCAGTTGTTCAGAGGGTAGATCATGCTATCCAACGGATAAATCGCTGTCCAGCAGATTGAGAATTTTCCAGTGGATATTGGGTTATCCGGCCATCTTCAACCGGCAGCAGATGTTTTCATCTCGGAAGGAATGTCAGAATAGCATGCTAATGTTTCTTCTTTTAAGGGAGCTGAAATACAAAAAATAAATCGTCACTTTGTATCCGAGGGTAATGTGCTGACTATATCGGCTTCTTAAGCTTTTTCAGAGCCCCGGTTTCATACGCTTGTACAAGTTCGTGCTTTCCGATAATTTACTGTTGTTGTTTATCTAATCAACTGATTCACAGATTACACGCGCCCGGGGCATCTATTATTCTTTTTTCAGTTAACAAAAAATATTATTTTTCCAGATTATAAACCCCTTGATTGAATAACAGTCTACCACTGTGACACATGATAATCTGATTATCCCATTTTAAAATCAATCTTAATGGAAATGAATGAAAAGCTCATAGCCGCTCCAGTACCACCCTTGCATTGCACGCATCAAGAAGAAGGCGATAAGGCCATTGTCAGAATTATACCACAGCTAAGCTGTCGAACTCCTTCAAACAGTGGAACGTAACTACAACTTTGTTGTTGTTCTTCTAATGAGGTTCAAAAATCAAGTTATTTAGAGTCATTCGTAAGAGTGTCAGCTGTCAAGGTACTGTTCTCACGAATACTTCCGGAAGTACGATAGATTTAATAGGTTCACGAGGTTTTACTCGCAGGTTATGTTTCGGCTGGGATTGAGCACATCATGTCTGACAGCGAACGCATTCAAAGATTATCTCATACTGTGAAAAGTTCATTCTTTTGCCAAAACATTAAAGTGAGAGTCGTAAAATCAATGTGATTTATAGCAATGATTGACTGGACGATTCTATTTTTGTGCGCTCCATGCCGGCTTATTCCAGTTTTGTACTTGTACCCTCTGTTTACGAAGTGCATGAGTTAAGCTAAACAAGAGGGAGGTAAGTATCTATCGGTTGTCATCACCCACGACTTTGCGAGTTAACGAATATGCGAAGGACCAGCGATTCATTCATGCATTTCTTCTATGAAATTTACGATTAGAATCTATAAAAACGCCATTTCTAACTCCACAACGTATCAACTAGGGAGTCACTGCTACTAGGGGGTATATTAGTTTTTAGACAATCAGCGAGTTAAAAAAGATTTGCCAGCTGTTAGATTTTATTTTCCATTATAAACTAGACGATCGTTTTCAATTATGTGCTGCAACATGCTGTTATTTTACAAAACTGAAATTGCCGGTATTGCATGATATTGTATTGCCATTACTGAACCGAGTTAATGACTGAAACTGGTGGTAATACGAAGAACACTTTCAAGTGGTCACAGCATTTGTTGATTTAGCCAAGGCGAGGGCTGTTCGATGGTCATGCGTATGAAATTGACTGCAACTCAGAAAAAAAGTAGTATCATCTTCTTTCAAATATCTTGCAACAAACGGCAGAGGACTCCGAAATATCAGAACGGTTTTCATTACCATTGCAGGGAAACACGTCTCCACAAAAACACGGATTTGACTGATTTTCTCAGTGTTCATTTTGCCTGTATAAGAATCGTTGTTTTTGTTAATTCATACCTTATGTAGTTGATCTCCCAGTATGAAAGGAAATAGCTGGAATCTCAATCAGGATTTATGACCTTAGTTTGGTGGTAGGAGGGCTTTCTCTATGAATATAACTCTTGGCGAAGATTGGAGATTTGACAACAAACAAGATGGGTCAATAAAGATAGAACCTGATTAGCTTACAGTGAAGACTGCTCTACAGGAAGTAGCCATTTTCACTCGATTGACGGTTTACATTCATAGCGAGCATTTATTAAAAAAAAAAAAAAAAAAAAAAAGAATCAAGGAGTGAGTTTATTACATTCTGTTTCAAATCGCCGAGTTTTTTTTTTAAGGTCAAGTTTATTTTCCACGACAGGAAGGGCTTTACATTTTAAAGATATTTAGACAAATGTCTGGCAAATACATCCTACTTACTTGCAATCTTCTATTTTCTTTTAATGTTCTCTAATTGATGAAATGGTTGAATTCCCCCATTTTATACCACCCTGATAGCGTAATACAAGCTTCTAAGTAATGTGTTCTAAGATGGTCCTGTAAGGACTACAACTAACCGGCTCAGCATACCTAGTGCACGCATAATGAAGCTGATTATGCTAAAAATATGATCTTCACAAGCGAACTTCTAATTAAGAAATTTCAGAGAATGAGGTCTGAAAAAAAAAAAAGAGTTCAGAGTACGTACCGCCTAAAAAACTAGTTGGACGAAAATTGCACATGTAAAGCTTAAGGTATTAAAGGTCCTACTCGCCTTTCTGAAAGACTTAAAAAGGAACTTATTTTCGAGTGAGGTTTGAGGAACGAAAGGAGATTAATAGAGTTCACAGTTGTGATCTTACAGTATCAGAGTCAAGTTAGCCACCATTAGGTGTTATAAACAGGCGTGACTTCGGTTGCGTGCCTAAACCCAACTTAGCGAAGATATATAAACAGGCAAATTAGATGTAAAGAAGCTTCATCAGATATCGTATAATTTGAAAATTTCGCTTTCTTTTCCAAGTTCGTCTTCTGCATTCCGTCTTTCTTATCCTAAGGCATCAAATTCCCTGTTAGTTCATTCTTGCGACTTAAATCGTTGTATGCAATGATAAGCTTTTCTTTAGAGTTTCCCCCCTACAGTTGACTATTTAAGTTACCCTTAAATAGTCCTTAAATACGAAGAACAATGGCTGTTACAGATGAATGTAACTTTCCTCAGTTACCATGCAAACAACACAACTGAAGCACCACGGATGCATTGCGCTTAGGGCTTACTTTTGTAAACATTATCCTCGTAACGTTATTAATATGATATGGATAAAAGACTTAATCACTTTAATGTTAGGTTTGACTTTCATGGATACATCATATGTATGAAGAGCCGGAAGTACAAACATGCATGCAGTTACAAAGTTCGCTCTAATTTGAAACTCATCAAACACGACCCACAGCACAAAAGCTGAACCTTAATGTTTCATAATTGGCTTTAAAAACGAGTTCCTCTAGACAAGTGGAAACTTGGCATGTCTACATACAAACAGGATATTTACTTTCAAGATCAGAGCAACTGTCAATAGAATGAGTAGAAGGGATCTCGTGTCTCGACGCTGCTTTCCAAATCCACTCAGTTTATGGAAATTACTCTGACGACGGTGACGCCGAAGATAACTGACGCCCTCATAACTATACCTGAATTTATCAATACTAAACTTTAGTAGATCAAAACAAAGCAGTTATTTTTAACTCAATGGTAACTTTCCAAAGGTTGGTCAGTCTTAATGTTCGCAGTCGCGCGGCAGTTTGGAGCTTATTCAGTTAAACATGCGGAAAATGATCCCTTTCCTTCTAACGACGACATATTTGTTACAAAAAAAAAAAAAAACGATGACAGAGGAACAACTCCTAACGCGCAGTTGTTCCTCATCCTGTAGGAAGTTCATGTGTTTTTTTCCAAAAATGAACTCTTGCTATTGCTCGTTATCTCTAAGTTTGATGTAGACTTTCATGAAACATGTAGCCTATCTGTTTACATGATAAATGAGACGTTGAATCAATTGTCCCACGACATAGAGTCAGGCTATCGAATTTATTGATCGCCATAAAATTATCTGTTCACTTTCGTCATTTACAATTCTTATTAATCTCCTTTTCTTTTATGTTTATTTTTACTGCCTTTGTGTTTATCTTTCCCAAAATATCGCACGGTAATCTGTTCAATCAAATGCGGTCCTAAGGATAAATGCAATAAGTGTGTCTCTGATTAACTTTCAGAAGGATCTGGTTTTATTTTTGTTAGGCGGTTTCCGTTGTTTGAGACACTTCCCGCTTACCTTTTTCTGCGTCAAGTTAGCTTTTAGTCTCGAATGAAATGACCGACAAAGTCTAATTCTACGGAATTCCGTAACGGAAGTTTCATTTTCACAAACCATGATAATCGCATGTCTTTGTCACGTGCTATAGATAATGAAGAGATTATTCCAGCGTCAGTCAATCGTGGGCACAGGTTACATAGTGTCTCGAGCATATGGGCCGGAAAATAAGCAGGGAAGAATTAAACGAAAAGAAACTGTAATCATGAAGATTCAGCACTTATAAAGGTGAGTTAACTTGAAGTATAGATGGAAGATGACAAAATCACAGGTTCGCTGGGAGAAAGTAAAAAAATTCTTCTCAAAAATACACTGAGAAGTAGTTCCGCTGCGCTTTCGTTAAATGGAATAGGTTGTGATCTCTAGTTCCTCTTTCCAAACCAGTCCCATCTCCACCATTCATAGCTACCCTTGTTTTTTCCTCACCTTTCTCTTCTTTTTTTTTCACCTTATTAAAACTGTATAATTTGCTCGACACCTTCCGAAAAATAAAACGCTTAATAGGCTGTAAAAGTAAACGTACCGAGAGTGCAAGAGACGCATCCGATGAGCATGCATGCTAAGCTTTTGGCCATTTTTTCAAAAACTATCGACAGTTTATCAGTCAGTTTATTTTCACAAGCGTAAGAATTTCAAGTCTCCAAAAAAGGTTAAATATATCGACGTGGATGGATGATTTGCGAAATGATTACCTCCGATTTTGATTTTAAACAAACACAAACATGTCTACTGGGGGCCTTTCCTAAGGTCAGTGTTTGCAGAATCAAATGATCACGTATTTGATAGAATTGCACAGCAAATAAAGGTTACATCAAGGCCGGGTTTTTGGGGGTTTTGACTCGTGAAGGGTATGTAACGGTTTTCCTATTTGGCACGTAAGTGTACGAACCGAGGCGACGACGGAGGGTGGCAGCAGTCTCCACCGCCAGGGAAATTAGGAAACCAGTGTTCCGGCCAAAAACACTCGTAAATTGGGCGATGACACTTTAGAGAAAACTTTTGGAAATGATGCTCATGATGTGGTTTGCGACACTTAGAATAAATGCTCTTGTTAGTTACTGAATTCACTTTGGTGTCTCTCTGGGTAGTTGGACTGAAGGCTCCTAAATAGCTTCACCTGAGGAACCGAGAATTACCGTTGCAGCACCAGCGAAGCCACACGACAGAGAATTGGGCCTCCTTTGACCTTCCAAGTTATAGGACCCAAGGCTTGTAAGAGACTTTCTCTAACATTTAACCTGCCAGAAGAGAGTTTTAGCTGACTAAAACGATATGTAAGGGATATAGACTATTCTGTCTTAAACGGCGGAATGCCAAAATGGTAAAATGTATATAGTGGTCTATTCATGGTTCCCATTTCTAATTTCCCATTGACAAAAGAAAGATAAAAGGATTATTCAAAGGGAACAAGGTCCAAGACCTTTTGTTTTTTCAAATTAGCTCGCAGTAGTTCATTTGGAATGGCTTCAACTTTTGAGAAGAGCAATTCCAACTTTTTCGTTGACCTTTTCTGTGGAACTCTGTCTCCCTTACGTGCTTGACATCGAATTTATGTCGCTATTGATAATGAATTCTCAAAAGACTTTCAGTGTGCGCTGCGAGTCGTATGCGGCCAAAACAAAACTATATATCAGAACCTTAAGCAATATATCATATTGATCTTTGAACGTCTCAAATATATTTGGACTTTCGTATGTTCCTGCATTTACAACACATTTGAACGGTTCACTTTGATACTCATGTATGTGACCTTGCTGCTTATCAGCCGCTCGTTAGGATCTGATGCAGTTCTCGCCTAACGATTTTGCATAAGGCACAACTGAAAAAGCGTTTTTGTAACTCACCTCAAGTTATGTTCGGGTTTTAGACTTACCAGTGGAATCCGCGTTGAACTTGATAAAATTTATCAAGATCCTAGAAGGACCAGAAGTCTGGAATAATAAATGTCATTATTTCAACTGGAATTCTTCAGTATTTAGTCACGGTTTATGACCAGACGTGAAAATCATGAACGTTTTTTTTTTTCATGCTGTTTGTCACATCTTGCGTGGTTTATATTTCCGATTGATTTCAACGCTAACGCTTTCGAATATCGTCTGATTTTTTACGGGCAAGAGGGTCACCGCCTCCAAGCGTGGGGGTGCCCGTGCACGTATGAAATGCTTAGCGTCTTAAACAGGGAAAGTTAAAAGATAAAAACCTGCGTTAGGTGCTCGAAGATAAAAAAGGGTAAATACCGTGACTAACATGCAGCTAGAGTAAGTTGTACAGGTGTACGTGTGCGAAAAAATGAGTGAGCCAAGCCCCGATGAACGTGCATAAAGGGCCCTTTTCAAATCGACAATAAATTGGTCAGCTTTGTATCACAATTGCAGGAATTTTAAGTCTTTAAAAAAGGTTAAAGATGCTGACATAGATGAGTGATGGTTGCATGACCATTACTGATTTTGATTTTAAACAAACACAAGCACACGATTGACTTTATGCGCCTTTGATAACCGGGGTGTCGGCTAACACTTGTCTGATTGAACTGCACAACAAGTCAAGGTAAAATCAGGATTGTAAACCGAAAAAACTCCGACTACTCTGTCTAAACAGGACTACCTATTTAATTTCTAAATATGAATTCCTCGCATTCGTTGGGCAATTAGATAGAACTGATGCACTTAGTTGCATATTCCGGCTTAGCAACAACCCTAAAATAGCGATAGCAACAACACTTTCATTATACTCCACAGGAAAAAGTCTGAGTAGTTATTTTCATCTCTGCTCTGTCTATTGAACCCAAGTATACGCTAAAGGGAGAGCAATTCAACAACTGAACCATAATTGAGTTTAAGCCGGGTTTAACAGTTCAACTTTCAGCAGAAAAGCTGCGGAGAAGCGCCTCCTTAACAATGCCAAGCGTTTTGGGTGTAATTTCCACTCCAAGGAATTCTTTCACTAAAAGATAGCACTCGATAGGAAAAATGCAGCCAGTATGTCTTACTCGTGCTGAAATAATACCTTCTGTTCTTCGAAACAAGAACTCAACAGTTCTACAAACTCAGAGTTCCAATCGCGAACTAAAACGTTCATCCAATGGAAGCCCCTCCGTGTTCCACCAGCGAAAAAAACATCTTTATTCATGTCCGTACCTACCTTGTTTACGTCAACATGATAGAAATTCTATTCAGGTAAGGAAACAACCTTTAGGTCAAAAATAACCATAGGCTTTAAAAAAGAAGGATGGTATTTCTACTTAGTTCAGCATGCCAGTATTTCTTATGCCTTGAGCCGGAGCTGTCCTCAAGTTCTTCTCGCTGAAAGGCTTCGTAGCAGTTTACACAAAATTTGTTCTTCTTAAGAAACTGTCCGCAGTTACGCTTCATCCATGTACTTCTAGATACAAAGCAAAGATTTTGTTACATCTCTTCAGTTGAAGAACTCGGTGATTACGATGTTGTTGTTGTTTAAATTTTGTAACAATTTAAAACATTTTATCATCAATATCTGTCTGGGAATAAAACCAAGTCAGTATACTCTTGATATCTCTATTCTTGCTTGCTTGCTTGCTTGTAGTTTATAATATGTGTTATTCACCAAATCAAATTTATTTGTTCTCTAGGTATGTTACGCCTCATGTTTCTTCAAACGATGCTTTTGTTACATCTATCTTAAGAACTCGGTGATTACGATGTTGTCGTCGCTGTTGTTCTCTCCGATTTGAGACAATTTGAAACATCTTATCATCAGGATTAATCTGGAAATAAATTCACTATGATTAGGGTCTGTTGCTACTGAAAAACGGTGATGTAGGGGTATGATAAAGAAAAAAAACATGGTCAAACATGTCGTGTTTGTCCTGTTATAATCTGCTTTCTTATTCTAGACATTATTGCTGATTGATCGTTCATCTCGTTCTCTCTGTGAATCACCTAAATTTCATCAGTTTTCGCCTCACATAAGAGCCTACCTGTTGGATCCGTTTGTCTTTCAGATTGGCCATCTATGATTTTGCATGGGTTCTTCTTTCGTAATCCTATCTCACTCAATAGTGAACGCACACAATCACAGGCAGTATGGCGTTCTTTCACCAATTATTTTACGTACTCCTTTTGTCTTTCTGACTAACGATCGGAGACAAAATGACGAGTTTCTGTTTCCCTCCCACGAAAGCAATTCTTTCACTTCCAACTCTTGAATACACTCCATTTATTCCAGATTTTTCCCACTTCGTTTTATAACCAAACCATAGACAAAGTGAATGAAGAACTACATTCACAATTGTATGTCCCGCTTTGTTTATTCCGTTTGCGATAATCGACATCTTTCTCCATGAATATAGCTCGCCATATAACAGTCTGTCAACAGAGAACGATATTCGATATCTAGCAGGAAAGGCAGAACGAGTTCTGTATGATTGTGTACCCCTTTGTTCAGGGTTAAAGAATGAACTAAACGTCCCTCATTACACTAACAGCATATTCGAAGTAACTAAATATGTTTATTGTGGAGGCGCGGTGGTTTCATGGTTGGTGCGCTCGACTCCGGATCGAGTGGTCCGGGTTCGAGCCCCGGCCGGGACATTGTGTTGTGTTCTTAGGCAAGACTCTTTACTCTCACAGTGCCTCTCTTCACTCAGGTGTTTAAATGGGTACCGGCAAATTTAATGCTGGGGGGTAACCCTGCGATGGACTGGCATCCCATCCAGGGTGAAGTAGAAATACTCCTAGTCGCTTCATGCTACAGAAACCGGAGTTAAGCACCGGCCTAATGGGCCACTAAGCTCGTAAACAGACTTTACCTTTACCTTTTAAATGTGTTTATTGCTAGGTGTGGCTATTGGGTATAGCTTGACTGACGTGAAAGATAATTATTTTTTTCCCTAGAATTAAGGTCACGCTCATTTTATCAGTCTTGGATTACCTCAATATGGGCTAGACCGATCTTAGTATCATGTTGCGGGTTTTCTGCCATGGTTAGCATCCATTAGCACGTTGTTTTACAGTTTAGGACGTATAAGTTCAGTACTCGTGACCATTTCCCTAACATGAAATGAGGAAAAAGGTGAGATCTCCTGATCCTACAGTGGCTTAGTCATCAATACGGTACTTTCCGCATACAGCTCTTCAAAGCACACTTCTGCCAATTCTTTCTCTGTTTTACCTCACACCTCTGGATGCAAAACCGGATAGCTGCTAAAGCTATTGTAATTATTTTTAAACATGAAGGTATTTATAGAAAAT